AAATTTTATACACTACTTTTAATCCTGTTTGATTGCTTGACAAGGGTTTAGGAAGGGAGAAAATAGTTGACCTTTATGTACAGATTGCTGATGGAATAAATTGTCCGCAAAAAAAGTCCGCAAAAACACGTAGGGATAACGGAAAAGTACCAGAGCTTGTTAAAAGTTTAATCACGGGAGGCTTCGATCCTGCGATCTCCTGGCAATTATTGCTAGGCGATTTCGCTAATTACGTACGCGTGCTCTGCCATCTAACCTACCGGAACGCTGCTTTCACCTTCTCTTTTAAGAGATCTTAAACCCCCGTCTAGTGACGGGGGTTTAAGATCTCTTGTCATTATTATCATTTAAAAATAATGACAACGCCAAAACGTCAAGGCGCACAGCTCTGAAATCAGGGGATCTGTGGGGATAAAGTCTGAGATTTGTGGTATTAAGTGAAATTTGAAGTGAATCCGTAGCAAGGAAGACATCAGTGGAATTGAATGGATTAAGGGGAGTCATAAGGCGAATTGATGGCATATTTGATATTTTGAAATTAAAGGATTTGAAAATTAAAGGAGGATTTTGGGATATTTAAAGATTAAAGGATGAGAAGGAAGATGGCATATTTGAAGGTTTATATAGTAAAGAGAGCTATTAAATCAATGTTTTGAATTTTAGAAGTCAAGACACCAGATTCTTAATAAAAGGCAGTTTTAGAGGTGTATATTTATCTCAGTCCTAGGCGAGGTTCGGTAAATGTCCGGTTGGTGTCCTACATGTCCGCAAAGAGAATGCACATTTTTCCTTCCTTTTCTTGCATTTTTTCTGCAAGGAGTGGCGCCCATTTTTCCTTTGTGTATGATAGCCTTTTGGCATGTCGAAGGAAAGAGGGAAAATAATAAAAATTAATTACTAATAGAGTACTTAGAGTACGAATAAATATTTTATTTTATAAATGATCAGAGATGAAAATTTTGGGACAACATTCTCAAATAGATTTTTAAAATATCTGGGGGAATCTTAATCCATTCGAAATCTTAATCTGTTCCAGAATGCTTCAATCTGCTGTGTATTTGCACCGTTGACTGGATTCATAAAGAATTGTTAATGATTTACTGTTTGGTATTGATATCCTAACTGATCTAAACCTAAAGTGAATTAATTCTGTTTGTAAATCAACCTAACATTATTAGTTATAATAACTTTATTAGTATTAAATTAAGTACTCTATTAGTAATTACCGTATTTATTCTAATAGAATGGCCCCTCCATTAGAATGGCCCCTCCAATAGAATGGCCCCTATTTGGGGGTAATGAAAAATAGAGTGGCCACCTCCATTAGAATGGCCCCTCCAATAGAATGGCCCTTTTCTACAAAGTATATACCTGGTACATTTTTTTATTTTATTATTATGTATTAAATATTACTCTTTAGTGAAGATAATCATAATATTTTCGAGCAAATCTGGAGTCAAAAAAGGGAGATTAAGAGGGATATTAGGGGATTTGGGAGGATTAGGAGGGATATCAAGAAATTACAACGATTTAATGAAGACGCAAGGGATTAGGAGAATTAATAGATATTTATGAATTTGGACTATATAAGGAAGTTGGATATAAGGTTGTCTGATCCGGATATCCGAAGATTTCCAACTATCCGACAACCTTAGTTGGATACATTCATTATATCAGGGGACTTGCAGGGGCACATAGGATTTTGAGGAATAATGATGAATTGGGTGAGATTTGGGATAAAATTCTGGAAATTTCACGATCCCTTGAAGCCATACGAAAATTTTTGAATTTTTGAAACCTTCGATATCTTCCAAATTCATCAATCCCCTCCAAATCTCTCCCGATTTCAGTAAATTATGTCCAAATTCCAAGATCCCGCGAACTTTTAAGAGCCAAATGTACTGGAAATTTTGATTGTGTGGCATCGAAGTACATAAAAAATTGCCTTTTTGCCCAGCAGGCAAAAGACTTTTATGTCTTATAGTGTTACGCTAAGGAAGATTCACTAAACAAAGTCGAAAATATAGAATTTTACAAGAAAAATCAATTAAATTTCGATGTAAAAAATATTCGATTGGTCATTAGCTTCATCCAATCTTTGATTTTTACCTATGAAAAATAGAATGGCCACCTCCATTAGAATGGCCCCTCCAATAGAATGGCCCCATTTTGGGGGTATCGAAAAATAGAGTGGCGGCCATTCTATTAGAATAAATACGGTAATTTTTATTATTTTCCCTCTTTCCTTCGACATGCCAAAAGGCTACCATACTCAAAGGAAAAATGGGCGCCACTCCTTGCAGAAAAAAATGCAAGAAAAGGAAGGAAAAATGCGCATTCTCTTTGCGGACATGTAGGACACCAACCGGACATTTACCGCGAGGTTCTTGGAGAGGACCGAGACGATGTTTCGAGGCCCGAGTTCAGCATAATCGAGGTTGAGAGAAGATCGAGGTTCTCGGCCTCAGCGAGGCCTCGACCTCATGCTACTCTAGCTATATCTTCTTTTTCAATCTTTTTACGATCTTGATTCAAAACCTAATTAAGGCAATTTGGCAAGAACAATTTAATAGTCTTAATCCAATTGGCTTACGAGAAAGTGATGAAATGAAATATTTTTTAAAATTCAAAAATTCTTCATCCGGTAACTATGATTGCAATGTTGTTACAATGGGTATAATTTAACGATTAACGCATGATTCTCTATGCCTGGCAATAACTAATTGAACTATATTAAGGCCAAAGGGTAGAATCTTGTACATCTATACACGAGGAAAAAAAATTACCTGAGATAATACGTTTTTCCTTCTAGAAATATGCTTACTTTATTATCCCAGATCCTCTTTTAATTTTCTGATTAGACCCCTTTTTGAGTTTATTTTAAAGCTAAACAATTTGGAAGAAGGTGGAATTGAAATTATTCTGAAAATTGGATAATTATTGCAAAAAACTTTACTGACAGTACTTATGAAATACTTTATTAATTATCTTATACTAAAATCCTCGTTCTAAATATTATCAGTTTGTATTCAAATAGAAAGGATTCTAAATTATGACTTTCGTTGTTAGATTGATCTCCTCTTAGGATTTGTCAGTATATGAAGATTCATGGCATGACAACTGAATTCGCAATGCTAAATCGGCCCAAACCATACAAACACTACATAAAATTATAAATGAATATTTTTTTATTAATTTTATCACAAGGTGTTGGACAACATATAGGAACTGAATTGGAACTTAAAGGATATTATCCAAAGTGTAATTTTCTTGCATTAGATCCCGTTGCTGAGGTTAATGCAGACTTGGTTGAAAAACAACTTAACGGGACTTTTATAGAGAAAGTAATTACAGCTGAAGATAGCTATACTGCAAATAAAAAAGCAAATATATGGAATAGTAAAGGTCAGAATTTTTGAGACTTAATTAATTTAACACAACCTAGGGAAGGGCTGGATTACGAAAAAAGTCGAGGTTCTAAAATTTTCGTTCGATTGGGGCTATAGCCGATTGGGGCTATAGCCTTTTCTTTTTCATTATTGATAAACATAGATCTGAATCTGCTCTTCATTTTACTACTAGGTATAGCTATATACGGGTGATATTCTTAAAGTTATGATTTTTTTGAACTTCACTACCTCGTAGTATACTCGAGAAAATTTGATTTTCGATGATTTCAAAAATTTTGATATTTTCGATCAGAACTCCCTAAATACCTAACGAAAAATTCTCACATTCTGGTATCCTATAGAAAATACAACAACAAATGATTGGTAATAAAAATCTAAAATAATTTCAAAGAAAATTATTTTAAAAATCCAAATTTAAAAACGGCCACTAATAATATACCGCACCTAATAATATACCCGATTTCTTCTCAAATACATACCCCTATTTACATATATGTTATTCCAATATTTTTTAAAAAATTTGATATGTATTTGATAAAATATTTGAATTTTTATCAAAATTTTCAAATATCAAATAATTTTCAAATAATTTTAAATTATATGAGCAAATATTTGAATTTGCTGTCTGGCCATTCTCATGCAGCCATCATTCTCAAATCTAACGTTTTCCCATGGATAGCTAAATTATCACATAGAAATTTTAATGTCATACTTATGTAAGGTATAATTGAGGATTTAAAGAGAATATGAAGTAATGTAAGCGTGATAACGGGGTATTAGAAGGGATTTAGTGGATATCAGAGATTTGGAGTGTCATATAAAGGGATTTGGGATTAAGGATGATATCAGTAAATTTGTACGATTACTGAAGATATCAAAGTATTTGAAAAGACTACCTTTCACTACTTCAAATCCTCATATATGAGGAGATATGAGGAGATTCTCATATCCCCTTACATCTTCTATCACTCCACATCTCATGATATCTCTCCAATTTTTCTGATATTTTCATTTATAACTTGTAATCCCTTGATATCTCCTTCCAAATTCACTTTACTCCCTCCCATATACTCATATCATTCTTAATCCAACTAAATTCCTCGATATATCTAAGGATACCTATTTCGATCAAATCCTTCGATATTGACAATGTCATGCTTTAAGAAACATAATGCAGATAAAAACTGGGTAAATAAATATTTTATGGGAGGGGGCATTTTAAAAGAAAGGGGTTATTTTTCCGATTATCCTCTAGTGGTGGTGGCTATTTTAGCGAGAGGTAATTTTATAGGGCGGATTATTCAAGAGAAAATGGGGAATTTTAATTGTAAATCTTAAAGCCACTTAATTCAAATTTCAAAAAAAACTTTTACAAATTCGAGTTTTTTTAAGTTTTACATTAACAGGAAAACGTAAATTCAATGGCAATTTCGATGAACTCTCAATTGGTTTTTTTGATTTCTTTCAATTTTATAGTGACAAATCAGTAATTGATTTACTTTTACTTGATGTTGAAGGAACAGAATTTGCTATTTTTAAACTTCTTGCAGGTTATTGATAATTTCAAAATCATGGAGAATTAAACACAAACACACATGAAACTTATGTAACAAAATCTATTTTTAAGAACAATACGAACAACTCCCCGTAACACTTTGCCAAATGAACATAGAAGTCCATAATCAACCAGTTTATGGAAGCTTCTTCACACGTCATCGCTTCCTACGCAATTTCGATTGGTTCATGCGTCACGGCCGTTTTGCATTAATGAAAACAGACACGCTTAATGTAAAGGAAAAATCGGAAACTTATATATTTCATAGAATGTTTTTCGTTAATTTATTTGATACTGTTTGTTTAGAAAAATTTATATTTTAATTACAATATTTAAGAAATAAACATTCCATTATATTAATTTTTCTACTGTGACTTGGGTTAGGCTGAGCTATGAACAGGCAAGTTACCACAGCCTAATGTACCGCTGCCCACGGCACCGCGAGCTCAAGGTACCGTACTCTTTATCCATTCACTGGAACTCAACTTTTTAGCACCGTAGGCGAAAATTTTGAGAATTTTGGAAGGCCAAAGTTCCGAATTACTTCCATTTACAGCGCCGGTGGCAATTTATGAAATAATTAGAAACCTCGGTAATACTACCGAAATATACTGTTTGCTTTACTATTTTGGGACGCTATTCTTGGGACGCATATACTCTCATGGGACGCCTATTATAGTTGTGGGCCGCATATTCTCTGATGGGACGCATATACTATTTTTGGGTCGCTTATCTTTGATGGGACGCTTAAAAGTCCGCTTAAAGTCTGCTGAAGGAGGAAGCGTAGAAGGATTATCTCTAATAAGATAAATCTCAATTTAAGGATGCATTTACTTTTGTTGTCCCCCATATATTACTAATTCTTAATCAATTTTTACAACATTTTAATCAAGTTAGAAATTGAGTGGGGTAATCAATCAAATTAATTAAATAATTAATTTTGCATGGGTAATTAAAAAAGGTAATATATTCTTCTTGAAGGCCACTTTCTCTCTTATTTTAATTTAAATTTATTATCCAAATATTCCGATAATTAATTAAAATTAAATTTAAAAATGTTAGTACAAAGTTATAATTATTTTTTGTTAATTTTAATTTTTGAAACTTGTTCAACAATAAATGTCGAAATTATCCAAAAGCGGTAAAAATTTTTTTGATTGAGATTGGATGATAGGGCAAAGTTTTTATAACATGTATATCGTTTAGAGCTTTGTATCATTACTTTTTAATGGATAATTGATCAGATTAGTATCTTTACTAGAAGTAAAGTTATGAATGGTTAAACGAGTCTAGTTAGGCACTATTTGTTCGGGCTCTAGACAGTATAGCAGGACAACTTAAAGCAGGATAACTTGTATTATAATCGGTTGTCAGATAAATGATGAACCCTTTGCTCATAAATAAAACAATTTGCTCTAACTAAATAATGAAATGAGATCAAGAAACAATATAATGCCCATTATTATCTATCACATCTTGCCACTTTCTGGGTGATCACCTCACAGCTCGCAGATGATTCTTTATCGAACGGAATAACTGGTAATCAGACGGCGCAATATCCGGAGAATAAGATGGACGAAATAAAAGTTGACATCCGAGTGTCTCCGTAATGTGGGATCGAGTTGCGTTCGCGCAATGCGTGGGTAATTATGCGCTGGTATATAATTTTGAAGCTTATTATATCCGATCGTAACTACATCTTGAATAGAAAGAAAAGTTATGAAATATAGTAAATACCCAAGTCAAAAAATTCCCTCACTTTCTCCATTATTTTTAAGTTTTCAACGAACTACGGGTTGTTCAGAACAGGACCACCGAAGTTGTGATGATGTTTGCAAAGGGGATAGTTATTGGTATGGATTTTGTTCAGCATGGGATGGACGGGACCTAAAATGTAGTTGTAGTGGTTATAGATATCCTTTGGAAGGAAATGTTTGTGGGCCTTCGAGACAACAAAAATGTGTGGAAGAATGTAGAGGGAAGGTAGAAATTGAAACATTTTTGGGGTTAGAAATTTCTTATTTATTCGAAGTACAATCAGATCTTTTACTACAAGATGCCTCCTTAATTTCCTTAATTTAAATTAATACTTTTTAAATTTGTTAGCCTTTGGAAGCGGAGAGTTGCTTAAGCGATACCTACTATTTCCGATGCCTCTCATTATAAAATAAAATTTTTTCAACTCTCGCGTGTCCTTTAGTATGATTAGACTGAATTTCCATTGACAAAAAGGAAAAAATTTTTAAATTCAGGGTCAAGAATCTGGCGGTTACTGTGTTGTGTCACCCAGTTCAGAAAATCGTAGAGGAGTGCCTAAATGCTCTTGTTTTGGAAAACCTAGATAATATTAATTTGTAAAAGTTTTCTTGTTAAAAATTACGTTAAGAATCTGAGCATAAATGTTTTAAGAGTGTATGTATGTGCTCTACCGACTGAGCTATCGGGACTTAAATGCATAATTTTATTAATTTTCATATTTTTTTAATAATTTTACCATAAGACCTAGAGATGTGCGAGACTCTTGGTCTTGGTCTTGGAACCAAGACTTTTCTTGGTTTTTTTTCGGTCTTGGTCTTTGTCTTGGTCTTGTCTTGGTTTTATTTTTTGGTCTTGGTTTTTTGGCCTTATTGGACCTAGTGCTTGGCCATCCAAAATTCTCAAAATTTTCGCCTGCGGCGCAGGAAAAGGAAGATTTTTGGCTTCTTGGACTTCGTAATTCCCAAAATTTTTGCCTACGGCGCTGAAAAATGAAGAATTCTGGCTTCTTGGCCTTCCAAAATTTTCGAAATTTTCGCCTGCAGCAAGATTTTTGGCTTAAAATTCCTTCAAAATTGTACAAATTTTCGCCTGCGGCGCAAAAAGATATGGATAAAATAGAGGATGGATATCAGCAGCCACCATCACTCAATCGCTCATGTCCCCTAACTTCATAATATTACTTTTGATCCCTTTTAATCCACTCAAATTTCCCTTTAAACTTCAATATCCTCCTTAATCCAAGGGCGTAGCCAGGGGGTCGATTTCGAGGAGGGCTAACGTTGGGTGTCGCCAAAATTTTGGCTTTACCCTTTGATATCACTATCCCCTTAATCCACTTAAATCCTCTGAAATAATATATCTCATTGATTTTCCACCCGGATAAATTCCCCGAAATTCTTTGAATTTCGCATAGATTTTTTGAAATTATAGGTGATTGGGCTAAAGTTGACTGTGATCGTATCAAAATAACAAAAAATAAACCAAAAATTTGACCTATGGGACCTAAAAATTGTCTCGAGTTTTGTATTATTTTTGGTCTTGAGTCTTGGAGTTTAATCTTGGTCTTGAGTCTTGGCCTTGGAAAAATTTTTGTCTTGGGTCTTGAGTCTTGGAAAAATTTCGGTCTCGCACATCTCTAATAAGACCATTCGTAGGGGTGTAAAAATTTCCCGATTTAGTTGGGAATTGAATCCGGAGTAGGAATCGTGATCGAGAGGCCAAAAACAAAAATTAAATATAATCAGTCTTGAGAAATCTTTCGGCTATTCAACATTCAACCTGGATATATAAAGGATTGTGACTTAAGAGCTGCTTTATAAAATATATTTGCCAGTGGTGTGCAGAAACAGATTTCAAAAGCGAAAGGCACACCCCTGATAACTAGCTGGGTGTTTATATTTCCGATATAATAATTTTCTTTAATTTAATTAAATTTAAGAAACAAAGATGCACTTTTATTTCAATGAATAATTGCACTTTTATTATTGAAAAAGATATAAAAAAAGTTGAGAAATTGCCCTTTAAGATTTTTATTTTGTCTGAGAAATATTTAGAATCTCTTAAAATTTATTGCTATCATAATATTATTATTAAATTATTTCTCACTACTCTATACATAAATTCAATTTTAATTTTAAAATTAATTTAGAATGAAAATTGTCAGTGTTTTAATCTTTGTAATCTTCAATGCGATATTATGGAGTTTAATTAATTCTGTTAAGAATAATAAAGGTCAAAAAGAGTTAAATAAAGTTGGGGAAGGGTCAAAGAATATAGAAAATAGAAACAAAAATGATGGGGCTGAATCTTTAGTCGGTCCTCAAATTCAAAATCCTAATGAAACGTCTAAAAATGCAGAAGAAGACACAGCTGGAAATGATAAAAGAAAGTTATATAAAAGAGAATATATGAAAGTTTACCGACAAAATAATAAGGAAAAGCTTAGAACGTATGATCAAAATTATAAGAACAAGAATAGAGAAAGGATCCGAGAAAATGCGAGAAATTGTTATAATAAAAATAAAGAAAATGCTAGCTTTGTTGAGAAGAAAAAAGTATATAGTAGAAACTATAATAAAAATTACTATCAAAATAATAAAGAAAAGTTTCAGCAAAATAACCGAAAATACCGACAAAAAATGAAAAACGAAAATGAAATTGAGGAAAGTTCAAAATTAGGAAAACAAGATTCTGCTAATAATGAAGGAGCTTCATTTGTTAATCCACAGATTTATGATTTTAGGGATAAAGGAAAAGAACCTATTGTTTTCGAGGAGAGCTTAGATAATGAAGAAGAAAATCATTTTAATCATGAAGAGGAAGAATGTGAAGAAAACGAAGCAGAAGATAATTTGGATGGTTTAAATCAAATTGAGATAGAGGAGCCAAATGAAGTTCGTGAAAATAACTTGGATCAAATAAATTTGAATAAAAATAATTATTTTTTTGATCTGAACGAGAAACCCGAGGATGGACAAGAGGATGATTGATTAGAAAAAAATTTTTGTTAAAGAAGAAAATTTTTCGAAATTAAATTTAAAAATTTTTTTATAAAACTCATTTATGTCCTTAAACATTTCGTAATTAAATATTTCGTTAGTACTCGTATCCTTTTCTATCATTATTTTTGGATTCAAGGGTGACTTAACATAATCTCAATTTTTCTTGTACTCGTACCAAGCAGGGATTTATGTGTTACCCGAACCGTTTACTAACCCGGCCAATCCTTAGCGTATATTGATGTTCGGTTTTATTCAAAGTTTATGATTTTAGAAACCAAAATCTTCAAAAATGTTACATTTGTTGGAAATAATGTTAAATTACAATCAAAATATGTGTGATTTATTTTATATGATTAATTCTTTATTTTTAAATCCAAAAATGTCCTTTTCAAATATATTTTCTTATTCATGCAATTTCTTAAACTTTATTTTTATTTAACATTCTTAATCATTTTTGTCATTTCCCTGTTTATTTAAACTCAGCTATTTCTGTTATTTTAGCTTCAGCTTCAATTCACTTTTAAATTCCCCAATAATCCCCTTAAGCCTAATTGTAAAATTAT